CTACCCGCCACCCACACTAGTTCATAGAACTCTTGATCCAAACAGGTGATCAAACACAAATTTTTTCAGAGCAAGAAAAACTGCATTAAAGTGTAATGCTGAAACTTAAATGAGATGCGCCATTTGAGCAGTGTGATGTGATGAGAGAAATACACCAAAATACCTGTGAGAAACAGAGACTAATGACAGGGATGCTTAAACAGAGGGCAAATACAGTCCTTGTGGTCAATTCGGAGTATGTCACATAACACACTTTCCAGTCCAGTCAAGATCCATGTAATTTTAATATTTTAATAAAAGTAATTTAATGTGTACATTTATTACAGGTATATGGACTCAGAGGTTAGAAGAAAGAAAACTCCTTGATCGGCGAGGTATCCCAATGTTTTCTTAGGAAAATAGCATTATCTTGTCACAGTGATCCAGAGTTCAACTTCAGTGTCAGGGTATGTCTCCATCAGGTGTGAGATGTGCGATTCAGTGTGTGATCTGCTACAAATGATTTACTTTTTTATAAAGAGTCCTATATCCCTATCATCACTTGCACTCCAATATGCTTCCTTCTGTGGAAGAAAAGAGGGGAATCAAGATAGAGCCAGCTACACAAACTCTGAGGCCCATGTCCTTTCACATCACAGTCTGTCGCACTACAGAACTTTTATGTAGACGGGGCTTAAGGCTGGCACTCTGAATGCAGGGAAGGGCTAAGAGATGTGTCTTGAAGCCTTTTTCCATGAAAAGCACTAAGGCTGTACAGTTTTAGCGAATAACCTGGTGAGAGACGACTATGTTGTTCTTATCACTGTGTGCCGCAGAGTCGATTCTAACTCACAGAGAGCCTGTAGGACAGAGTAGAACTGCCCCACAGGGTTTTCTGGACTGTAACCTTTATTGGAGTAGATCATCAGGTCTTTTCTCCCACAGAGAGGCTGGTGGGTTCGAACTGCCAACCTTTTGCTTAGCAGCCAAGCGCTTAACCACTGCGCCACCAGGGCTCCTGAGAGGCCTATGGGAGGAGCTAAACCAGAGCCTCTCCATAAATCAAAGCCTCCCCCTGGTATCGCATTGGCTACTATCATCTTACTGATGACTGTGGAAATCACAATTAGTATAGGACTTTACTTCCAAGCAAAAGAAACGAGAGTGGTCACCACACTGGAGTGTCTTCCATGCGAAGCTTTCAGTCTTGTGAGTCCCAAATGAAACAATGCCGAGAGCTACGACGAGGCAAAGTTCTAAAGTAAGATACAATAAAAGGCATGGAAGGATGGCTTGATTTTCTTTCTAACTCTTGCAGATTTTAAAATTTATAACAATCTTTTGTTTAAATAATCTGAAGTTACTGAGAAACCTGTAATTCTGGACAAAATTAATTTCATAACCCAGTTCAGGCATCTAGGTCAAACTATAAAATCAAATCCTAGGCCCTTTTACCAAAGACTAGAACTATTATGCTACAGAGAAAATTCTGATGGGACGTTCACAAAATCATAGTGTTTGAGTTGAAAAGGACCTTAGAAGAAACGGAGTCTGACACCCTGGTCTTACAGATGAGAAACACTGAGGCTCAAACGAGAAAGGGAGAGCCACGGCTGGGCCTTCTCGGTACAAAGGATGAACGGGGCAGCGCTAAGCAGAGAGGGGCCATCCCTGTTTTGGAAAAGCTATTACTGGAGCCCTGCCTATTATCACTGCCTCACTCAAAAAGACGATTTAGATGACACAGATACACTTCAGGCACACAAACAAATTCATTATTTGCCATCACAAACATTTTTAAAAGAAAATACGAAGAGTAGCTCTACATTCTTATTGAATAAATATGGGTAACAAAAGGCCCCAGTACTCTTGATGCTATCAGGGTTGGTAGAGTAAGGCAGAGGGCTTGATAGTGTTTCTGAGCTTTTCCCTCCATCTAAAACATGGGGAAAACATTAGTTATTTTACTACAGAATATAAAGCCAGACCGAAATGCCAGGAGCAGAGGAGGTCCTTCATTGTTTTCAAAACTAAATTCAGAACTGAGGTAGAGTGGGCACTTGCAGCAAGCCTCCGCCTGGCTGGGTGGAGTTTTGTATCTGTTTAGGCCAACAGGTCTAATTTGTCAGGTTGGCACTTAGCAATAATCTCTACAAACACTGCTTAGATTAAGCTGAGAAACAGCTAATGCTTCACATCACTTGCTCTTACAATAACCTTCTCTCCAACTATCTCCTGTGGAAGTGCTCCTCATTTGGGAATTTACAAGTCAAAGTGACTTAGGACCCGTATAGCAAAAGAGTCACAATAATGGACACGGACGCTTATTCCAAAGCACACAATACTGGAATCGCATTTGTCGATGTTAACAAACATATTTACTAGTTCCAAAAACCATGAAAACGTGATCAATCAACAATTAAACTTTGGTTATTTGGTCATTTATTCAACAATGTTTATATCTTTTCTTTTAAATAACCTCATCATTTTACAGTCAACTCTAAATTATTTGTGCTGATGGGAGGAAAGAGAGAAGTCCATGATTCAAAACAAGTGTCTCTGTGTTCAGCAAAGTCCATGTACAAAAAAAAAAGCACTTTGTAAGAGCAAAGGTGGCGAAGTCCTGGTAGAGCAGAGGTTAACCACTCAGCTGCTAACCGAAAAGTCGGTGGTTCGAACCCATCAGCCGCTCAGCAGGAGAAAGCTGCGGCAGTCTGCGTCCATAAAGATGACAGCCTTGGAAACCCTACGGGGCAGTTCTACTCTGTCCTATAAGGTTGCTGAGTCGGAAATGATGTGATGACAATGGGTTTGGGTTTAACAGCAAAGGTTGGGAACGAAATGTCCGTCAATAGAGAACTGTGTTAAACAGCATCTGGAAGAGCTCTACAGTGTAAGAATGTGAGAAGGAGAAAGATCCATATGTGCTAATAATGAAATTATCAAAAAGATGAACTCTTCAGTAGAAAAAGAAAGGTGCCAAAGAGTATATATAATATGCTACCATCTGAATTTAAAATGGGTACATAGATATATACCTTTATATAGTATACAGAATCTCTGGAGGGAAAAACAAGAAAATGTTAGCTGGAGAGAAGAACGTGGTAGCTGGGAGACAGAAATAAAGAGAGATTTTCATTGCATACCCTTTTGTAGATTTTAAATTTTATACCGTGTGCATGTATTAAATGTATTTATACATCTCGAGCTGTCATCTGAAAGCATGGTGTTAATCACCGCCTTTCTCAATCCACATTCCTCACCTGAGCCATGTAAGACAGAAAATGATGTGAGTGACTATTTTCTCAATTGTCTCAGGAAGATACAAAACTAGTACCATCCTAGATACAGAGAAAAGAAGTTAATCTATGTCATATAATGGATGTCTTAGGGTATTGGAGCTTACTTTTCTCAGAAACCCCAGCTGAGAAGGATCTAATGCCTAAACGTCAAAATAAACAGTATGCAGAATGAATTACACCAAGTGAAAAGAGGCAGGCAGGCTTTCGATCCTAAATAACCCGAATCCCATCCTAGTCAAGTGACCTCGGATCTTCACTCCACAGTAGGGACTGATGTGAGGTTCTCTTTTTCCAGAAAACCAACTTTTCGTAATTGAGAAGTGATTAATGCTTGGAAGGGGCAGGAGAGAAGAGGTACGGGGAGCAGGGCCAGGAGACAGGACCCTCAGATGGCATGGGAAAGCAAAGCCAGAGAGCCCCCTGCATGCAGCCAGAGCACAGAAATGAACTCCGTCCTTAGTCAGCTGGGAAAACTCGGCCCTCCCGCAAAGAGAAAACAAGGGGAAGGGTGTGTTTCGTGTAAGACTGGAGGTTAGAGGAAGGGAGAGGAGACCTGAAGAAATTAAAACTCAGATGATAAAAATAAAAAGGAGATGTAGATAGCTGCCATTGAGTGATTCCGACTCATGGCCACCCCATGTGTGCAAGGTAGAACACCACTTTACACCACTGTGCCCGTACAGCTCTGGTCTCGTCGGCTTATCCCTGGGAGCTCCTGCCTGACTTACAGACCAAAAACAAAACATCAAACCCACTGTCGTCGGGTCAGTTCTGACTCATAGAGACCCTATAGGATGGAGCAGAACTGCCCCACAGGGTTTCCAAGGAGCGGCTGGTGGATTCGAACTGCCGACCTTTTGATTAGCAGCCGAGCTCTTTACAACTGTGCCACTAGCGCTCAAGACCAGATGCCCCCCATTCATGAACTGCAAATAAAGTTTATGAGTTCCTATATAAATGTAATCCTGTGGAAATTTTATTTCTAACATAAGCTACAACTCCCTTGGAAAGCTGATCTACTTCTCTCCTACTACAGCAAAGTACTGGAGAACTCTTACTCTATACGACATGTTACTGGTTTCTTAGGCCTGCAGTAACAAAGGACACAAACTGGGTGGCTTCAAACAACAGATTTCTTCTCTCACAGTTTTGAAGGCTGGAAGTCTGAGAACAAGCTGTTGGTAGGGCCTCCCTCCTTTCGGGGGAGGAGCCTTCTCATGTCTACCAACTTCTGGCGGCCCCAGGCGTTCCTTGGCTCGTAGCCGCAAGACTCCAATTTCCACCTCCATCTTCACATGGCCGTTTTCCCTGCGTCAGCCTCTGTGTACAAACGTCCCTCTTCTTGTAAGTCATATGTCGCCCTACTGGCGCAGTGGTTAACAGCCTGGCTGCTAACCAAAAGGTCAGCAGTTCGAATTCATCAGCCCCTCCTCAGAAGCCCTATGGGGCGGTTCTACTGTGTCCTATGGGGTCGCTATGAGTCAGAATCGACTCGGGTTTGGTTTCTGGTTTTATAAGTCATATTGGATTCAGGGCCCACCCTAGCTCAGTACAACCTCCTCTTAACTTGATTACATCTGGAAAGACCCTATTTTCAAATAAGTACTTCTAGAACATTCACAGGTTTCAAGTGGTCATAAGTTTTGGAAGGACACTATTCAGTCCAGTACAGGTGGCAAAATAAGCATTATACTTACAAACATGGAGTTCAATACTTACAAACATGGAGTTCAATACCTTGGGAACAGCTTAAAAGTCAGAAGAGGCAACCTCTGGAGAGAAGAACTCGTGGGCGGAAAGGGGAGAGTGGGGAACTGCTTTCTAAATCTTAAAGTTATGGTTCTTTTTGAGTTTGGGGGGGAAAAAAAAGCAGCAAAAGAATAAGGAAAATCTGTTAATATGTAACTGATGAAAATCTTATGTCCTCAATATAAAGAGTTTTATAAAACAATTAAAAAAAATAACAACAGCCAAGGAGAAAAATGGGCAAAAAAAAAAAAAGTATCTTCTGAACACAGGAAACTTATATTCTCAGTTATAAGAGGAACTATGGCTTAAACGAAATCTTAGGTAAGGGTCTTATAAACTAAGCACTACCATAGTAGGTAAGTCAAAGGTATTCAGTTTCCTCTGCTCCATCTTAGGTTACCTTTCAATTTTAATACATCAGACAGTTTTTATAAAGACAAAGGACTCAAATCAAGGAGCAGCTCACAAGACCTCTTGTTCTGTTGCTTTTGTTCTAGTGCTACAAAGAGAAGCTGATGGGATTTCTGGCCTTAAAGGCACAAAGGGATCTTTGTTGACTACCTATCTACTGTCAGTTAAGTAGCCTCCTAGTAGCAAAATATTTCCCCTAGGTTCTGATTCCAGCTCTGTTTGCATAATCCCCTCCCCTGTCTGGAGCCCTGGAGATGCAGTGGTTAACAGCTCCACTGCTAACCAAAACGTTGGCAGTTAAACCCACCAGGCACTCCTTGGAAACCTTATGGGGCAGTTCTACTCTGTCCTATAAAGTCACTTTGAGTCGGAATCGACTCAACGGCAACGGACTCACCTGTAAGAAGCTGGGCTACGTGACCTCTCCTGCTGTTGTGAAGTGCCATTTAGTCAGTTCCAACTCACAGTGACCCAATGTGACACAGTTGAAGGCCCCATAGGGCTTTCTTGACTGTAATCTTTCGGGGAGCAGATCGTCAAGTCTTTTCTCCCACAGAGCTGCTGGGTGGGTTCAAAGGAGCTGTGGAGTAGGTTTGAACTACCAACCTTCTGGTTAGCAGCCAAGTGCTTAACCTTTGCACAACAAGGGCTCCTTATACGTGACCTCTTTAAATTGTTTTTCCTCTAGTACTTTTGTAAAAAATATCTTTAAAAAAAAAACAGAGGAGGGCAGAGTTCCTAACAAATTTATTTATCAAATGAAGTGAGAATTAAGATCTCTTTCTGTAAGCATGAGGGATCTGATCTAGCTTACATAATGTTCAAAGAAGTAGACTTGAGGCTTTGTCATATACCTTGACATGCTGATTTCTCTACAAACTTCTTATAGCAGAATTTCAATAATCCATACATAGATCGCAGATTTCGTCTTAACTCACCTCACAATTTGTAGTTAAAAGCTCAGCTGCTAACCAAAAGGTCGGCAGTTCAAATCCGCCAGCCACTCCTTGGAAACCCTATGGGCATTTCTACTCTGTCCTACAGGGTTGCTATGAGTCGGAATGGACCGGACGGCACCTAACGACAACAACAGTTAAAGGAGTAAAAAAGTTATCACTTTAGTCACACGTGACATGTCAATTCCTGTATAAGTGCTGCCAGTGACAACTTACGTTAACTTATTTTATTTCTGAATAGTCAACATAAAGATCTGGGTACCATCTAAATTTCAATACATCAAAAACTGGCACTCAGGGAGGCTTGCAGGCACAACTCTCCATTCTAGAAACTCCGAGCAGGAAAGGTCTCTCATCCACCTCTATCCATCCCCCGTCTTGTAACTAGAGGCCTTTTTTCACTATATCTGCCTGGTGGTCCTCCAGCCTGTCTGCAAACTCATAACCCAGAGCCAGCTCACTTTCAGAGGCAACTCATCATTAGTCAGCACGCTGCACTCAGTGTAATGTTCACACTCACTTGGAAGTGGCAAAAGCAGGATCAAGGTAATTACTCTGTAGACAAAGAGACGAAAGGAAGGCTTTTATTTTTCATTCCATTTCTTTCAGTACTCTTTGAATTTTCTAACTCTGTGTAATTATTACTTACATAAAGGTACAAAGATACCTTTGTCAACAAGGATTATAGGAGCCATTTTTGTTTTGTTTCTTGTATTTTTCTGTAGTGAAGAAAAGGTAATATATGTTAATTTTTTTATTGACACTCAAAGACAGTGACAAAACCCAGGGCCGTTGAGTCAATGACAAGACAATCATAGTCAATGACAAGACAAGTGTACTCGGGGGTTCTTTGCTTATGCCATTTCAGAATGCAGATTTAATCAATGCACTCAGAGCTTTTAAACTGAATTATTAGTCACTGCCTATTCTGGAAACCTCCCACCTTACTGTAAACAGTTAATTATGTAACAACCGTGGCAAGGACTCTTTTGGAGTGGAACCTGTAGAGTGGAGACAAACCAACTTTTACTTTCCACAGCAGTCAATTTTTTAAAGTACTTCGCTGAAACAAAAATTAACCTTTTTAAATGATGATTTAATATTTAATTTCAGTAACCAATATACATTACAATTGTCACATAATCTTGTATGCCTAATGAAAACAAACAAATGTTAACACATTTGGTGTACTCAGGTAATCTAGAATTGAAAATCATTAACACTGCCTACTTAACATAAAGGATCTCTGGTGGTGTAGTGGTTACGCACTCAGCTGCTAATCGAAAGGCTGGCGGTTCGAATGATGTGGCAGTCTGCTTCCGTAAAGACTGACAGCCTCGGAAACCCTACAGGGCAGTTCTACCCTGTCCTTCAGGGTAGGTATGAGTCGGAATCAACCTGACGGCAACGGGTTTGGGTGTGCTTAGCAAGCGGATCTGCCGAGCTAAACCACCCTGGCTTCTTTAGTACAAATATTCTTTTGTTCAGCAAGTTTCCACAGTACTGAAAAGGGTTAATTCAATAAGTGCATTAACTTCTGTACAAATCCTTGCATACCTCTGTCATAAAGCACTAAATCAGGTTTAATAGCAGGTTCATTATGCTACCACAGGAGGGGCCTCTTAAAAGGATGGAGATTGTTTTCCACAGTATTTAAGGTACTTAAAATCTCTCTTCTGTTTCTAAGAAACTAGAAAAAGCAATCCCAATGAAGAAAGACGATTCATTCCTTTGGCCAATCAAAATCACTTATTTTGCTAGAAATATTTCAGAAAGGTGAACTTAACCTGTTGCCAGAAGTCAATGTAAAATTCCACCTACTCCAATGCACTTCCTATAAAGTTCTCTGAATATCTTCTTCAATCACAGCAGTGGGAAGGTAAGAGCTAACAAAAACCAATATACTTCACTGAGGCTTGAGCTGAGGGAGAGAAAAAAAAAATTACAGTATTCTCAAAGCCCAGACTTGCACACAGCGGTGCAGAAATCATAAAACAAAGTGTAAACACCCGTCCAATGAATCATTCTCAAACTAACTGGCCATCACCCACTGAGCACCTGGGGCCTGGAGCAGGATATTAACTATGGCTGGAGGCTGCGGTCACATGAAACCTAAAACCTTGCACAAAGCCTGTACACATTCATCAACATGCTGACGTCAAGTCATGGCGGCTACTGGGCCTTTCAGGTCCTCTGAGCAACAGGGGGGCAGGCTCTCAGAGAAGACCTTCTGGAGAAGGGCAGGAAAGGTGTTTTCCACTGTTGCCACCTCCAGCCTGCCCTGCCTCCTCCTCACCCGCACACAGCCCCTGCTCCTCCTCCCTTTCATCCTGTCTTCCTTCCCGACACAAACATCAGGGTCATGGGCCGATTTCCAGTGTCGTGACGATGCAGAAGGCGTCGGTTCCGACGGTCACCATTTGTTTTCAAGAATCTCATGCTCCAGGTTCCCTTCCTTGTGCCGTGGAAAGAAAATGGAAGAGCATCTACAACTCAACGACTAAGAAGAAAATGAAACGGAGTGTGAAAACTGGGGCCGAGGCACAAAGAAACAAAGGCAGGGCATTTTGAGATGACAAAAGTAAAACGAAAGAAAGATTCTTTCATATTCTCATTCCTGTAACTTTAATTATGCAAAGTACTACAGCGACAAAAAGATGAATAAAAAGAGGAGGAGGAACCAATGATTATTTACAAAAAGCTGTGTGCTCTTTCCTAAGCCACACAACCAGACTACATGGCCCGACTTCCTGGAACTGTGCACGGCCACGTGACTACGTTCCAGCCGACGGGCTGCACGTGCAGGGATGTGCCACTTCCAGGGCACAACTTTCCCGCTTCCTCTAGATGGATGCAGCGGATGGCAGGATGATGGAAGGAGCCTGTTCCCTGAATAAACTATGTAGAAGGAAAGACACTCACAGTCCCAGAACACCTGCCAGGACTAGGACATAAGCAAGATATAAATTTGTATTGTTTTTGATCATTATATCTTTGGGGACCTATTTGTTACAGCACCTAACATTGCCTTAACAAATGAGACATAAACAGGAAAAGCTAGCAACATACAGTAGCATACAGTAAAGTGTAAAATAACCGGTTCAGGCAAAAAGATTGAAGTCTTAACAGACTGTCAGTCCTAAAAGAGAAGCTGTGAATTAGGCAGGATGGAGTAGAGGTACCAGAATGAAGCGCAATGGAGAAATACAAAGGACCATGGAGCAGACAAACCTGGGAGGCAATGTGGTCCTGTCACGCTCTTGTGCTCTGACCCTGAGCATTTTATTTCCATTATTCCATCTCCTCTCTGTAAACCAGGGGCTAGAACAGGGACTATGTTAAGGAAAGAACATGCATGAAACACTTAGGACAATATGCTGCCTGCAAAGCACACAGTAAGTGCTCAATAAATTTCAGCTATTATAAATACCATTATTATAAACAAAGTATTATAGAAATAGGCCTGACTGATGTAAAGCAAAAGATACAACTGGGAGGAAAAACGTCCAGATTTGTAGGTCTTAAAATAATAAACTGAAGCTGGGGGAAGGATGATGGGGTCAAAGGAAGTAGGAAGGGAGCACAGCAATGCTTAGTAAGACCGACGAGGAAAGAACAGAGGCAAAGCAACCCATTTTAGAAAGCTCCCATAGTATCTAACAAAGGCTTGGTGAAATGAGAGAGCTGGTAGGTGATGACGTTAAAAATGGAAACGAAAGGCATTGTATACTGTTATTAACAGCTGAGTTTTAAGACTGAAATTCCTTAAAACCTTCAGTAGCTTCTTACTGCCTTTAGGATAAAACACAGAATCAGCTACGAGGCCTTGCATAACCTGAGCCGAGGCTGACTTCTCCAGGCTCAACCTGCACCACGTCCTGTTCACACACAGGTCTTCCTACAGACCAGGAAGTGCACCAGGCCTCCTGACCTCACACGCATCACAAACACTATTCCCTATCCCCACTCCTTCCTTGGCTACAAAACCCGAGGCCGTCAAGTCGATTCTGACTCATAGCGACCCTACAGGACAGAGTACAACTGCCCCCATGGAGTTTCCAAGGAGAGCCTGGTGGATTTGAACTGCCAACCTTCTGGTTAGCAGCCATAGCTCTTAACTACTAAGCCACCAGGGTTTCTATGTAACACGCAGTAAATTACAAAGCATAACACTATAACCAACAACCATGACCCCACTACCCAACCCAATAACTAGAAGGTTAGAACAACCTGGATCGACGTACCCTTCTTCCCCTATATTTCCTTGACTTTTTATAGATTTTTCACACCCACCTGCCTAAGCTAGATACTGTCTAGTTTTGCTTGGTTTTTAGCTTTATAAAAATGCTATGTGACTTGCTGTTCTCACTCAACACGATGCATGCAAGATTCACCCACGCTGCCTGTAGCTGTGGTCCACACGCCTTTACCTCTGTAGCACTGCTCTGTGTAAACACACCCGTTTATCCTTCTCCTATAAATCAACATTTGAGCTGTTTCCACTTTCTTCCTCTATATTCTCATACGTGTCTCCAATGCACATTTGCAAGGACTGTACCAGAGTGTAAATGGCTCCAGCGACTACTGATCTTTCTGTGCTACTGAAGGTCAAGTTTGTTCCCACTTCTAGAAGCAATAAAGCTTTCACAGCATAAGAAGGGGAACCTGTGAACCCAGCAGGAGCATTCAGAGCTATGGAAGAAAGAATGCAGAAGGCGAAGGAACAGAAATTTAGCCACTTAAAGCCAGATGGTAAAAGCGAAACACACACTACTCTCCTCCTCCACTTGGTTTTCTTGTCCATTGTGCAGATGGGTTTAAGGATGGAAGTAACGGGACAGTCCACAGTCCTGTCAAAACTGTGAGATTTTCCTAAGATTCTCTACTTCCAAGGCTGGATGACAAGCCAGTTGTTAATAACAGAAGTTTAAGTATTTGCCATTGTACCATTAAAACTGGATAGTAATGAGAACCTAGTTGTACTCAATGTCAAAACTAGAATTCCAAATTATATAAAGATGCCAAAATAAACTCATCTAAAACTAAGACCAAAAGCAGCTTGTGTTTACAAATCACAACAGTATTCCAAGTTACTATTGCAAACTTGAAGTTCAAAGTTAGATGCATATATGTAAGAGGCAGAAATAAAAAAAGAATCAACAGACAAAAAAAATACTCATGTCTTAAGTCAATCCATCATTTCCTTTATCAAAGAAATATAAACATTAAACGGCACCAATCCTAAACAAGCAAGAAAAGAAAAGAAAGCTGGTTTAAGAACTGATGATAAATGAAGGAATACCAGCCTCAGATTAGAGATGTGTCAGCAGCCACCATATTGCTACAAAGGGTGGCTGCTCCTGGCACTTACTCATCTGACAACCTGGGATTCCCAAAACCATCCCTGACCCCTGCCTTTTCCCTCTATATCTTCTCTGCACACATGCTGGGACAAGTACTATTAAAAAAAAACGAAACACCAAAGTTTTTATATCTTACGCTCCCAGCCCTCATGTCGTGGACCCTCTCCATTTACCTCTGTTCTTGAAAAAATTTACTTCAGTATTAAGTACTTCCTATTAGGAGCCCCTGGGTGATGCATACAGGTAAGCATTCAACTACCAGTCAAAAACAAAGGTTGGCGGTTCGAACTCATCCAGAGACACCTTGGAAGACAGGCCTAGTGATTTGCTCACAAAAGGCCACAGCCTTGAAAACCCTACGGAGCAGTTCTATTCTGCACACATGGGGTCGCCATGAGTCAGAACTGACTCAATGGCAGCTAACAAGAACTACATTCCCACCACCTCCACCAGCCTTGTGCAAACACTGCAAGAAAAATACCTGGAATATTTGGTCACGTCTCAAAAGGAAAGTCTCTCTTGCTTTTTTTTTTTTTTTAAGCTAATGTATCATTTATTCTCTAAGTTGTTGTTGTTGTTGTTAGATACCGACAATGGTAACCCCACCCACAACAGAATGAAATCACTATCCAATCTGTTGTGGGTTGGAGCACTGTGATCCATAGGGGTTTTCATTGGTTGTTTCATGGAATTAGATCACCGTGTCTTTGTTCCTAGTCTGTCTTAGTCTGGAAGCGCCACTTAGAACACTCATAGCAATACACAAGCCTCAAGTGACAGAGGTGCACTGGCCAGGAATCAAACCTGTATCTCCTTCATGGAAGGCGAGAATTCTACCAATGAACCACCACTGTCCTTCATGATGTTCCCCCTGAACTACTGAATCATGCAGCAGTCATGAGATTTAACGGGAAAGCAACAGAATTCCTTTCCTTCATATGGTAATAGATAATCCTGCTTTCTTTTTTTCAGGATTCTTTTCTTCATTTTAATTTTTTATTTTATTGTGACCCAATTTGACCACTGGGTCAAAGAAGTCCTCAAGAAGGAAACTAGAAAATACTTTGAGATAAATAAAAATGAAGACGTAACACACCAAAACTTACAAAATGCAGCTAAAGGAGTACTAAGAGGGAAATTTATAGCTGTAAGTACCTGTATTAAAAAAGAATCATCCACCTTAAGATGCTGGAAAAAGAAGAGCAAACTAAACCTAAAGCAAGCAGAAGGAAGGAAACAATAAAGATTAGAGTGGAAATCAATGAAATAAAGAGAAAAACAGGAGACAAAAACCAGCAAAACCCAAAGCTCATTCTTTGAAAAGATTAATAAAATTGACAAACCTTTAGCTAGACTGACCAAAAAACAAAGAAAAGACTCAAATAACTAAAATCTGAAATGAAAGTGGGGACATTACTACTGGCCTTACAGAAATAAAAATGATGAGAATACTATAAACAATTTTATGCCAATTAGATACCCCAGATGAAATGGACAAGTTCATAGAAACACATAAACTACCTAAACCGATTCAAAAAGAAAATCGAAAATCTCAATAAACTTGTAACAAGTAAAGACATTGAATAAATAATCAAAAATCTCCCAAATTAAGAAAAGTCCAGGACCAAAAAGTCCAAGCCTTCACTGATGAATCCCAGCAAACACTTAAAGAAGAATTAATACCAATTCTTCTGAAATTTTTCCAAAAAATATGAGAAGGGAACACTTCTAACTCATTCTATGAGAACAGCATTAACCTGATACCAAAGCCAGGTAAAGACATCATGAGAAAATTACAGACCAATATCCTTTACGAACAGATGCAAAAGCAGAAATGAAGAACTATTAAATCAAAAAACTAAACCAGTTGCCACCAAGTCAATTCCAACTCATGACAACCCCACAAACAGGTGCTGGGCAAGTAAACCCAACACACGTTCATAATAAACTGCCACCAACAGAGTCTGGAGTGCCTGGTTTAATTAAACAGGGCATTATCATTAAAAAAAAAAAAAAAAAATTCTTATTTATACTTCCAGGTTAATAGTGAAACTTTTTCAGAGTTAGCAGTTATTATACATTTTTATTTTGTAAATGCTTGTTTCACGACCCTTACTAATTTTTCTTTTCTACCGTGTTGCTTGTCTTTATGATTTTCAAATACTCTTAAGAGTAGCTATTTTTTAGGTAACAGACTTTTTCCTACTTTGTCCTTTGTATTACACTTTTTGTACATGGTGTTTTTCTGAAATGTAAACATTTTAAACATAGTAAAATCTCTCTGTTTTTCTTTGCCTTTTTTCCCACTTGCTCTTATGCTTAGAAAAGCATTTCCTTCCCTGAGATCAGATTCTTCTAGTACTTTTACGGCCTCACTTGAAAGAAATTAATCTTTAATCTGTATGGAGTTTATTTTGCTGTCTAACTTTTTTCTCTCATAGTTAACCAGCTGCTCCAATACCATTTTTTTAATAATTGTTCTTCCTCCCCACCATATTTTATTTATCATGCTACTCTAACTGTATGCTAAAATCCCCATATATTGGGATCTGTTGAGTTTTCCATTCTGTTCTATTGAGTTATTTTATGTATTCATGCTCCACTTCCTTTTACTGGACTTAAAAATATGTCTGCCTGTTTACTTTTCAACTGAATTCTGGAATCACTTTTACCAAACTGCATACAAACAAAATCCCACAAAGTAACCCCCTCCAAAACCCAACACCAAAATAAAAACCCGAAGTCCAAAAAAAAACCCTAATAATCCATCATGTCAGGGAATTTCAAGGATACAAAATGGGATTATCCTTTCCAAAGATATTAAAGGGAGACTGGGGGGAAAAGAATAGAATACTATCAGGTTGACTATCTGGTTCCCTAGAAGTTCAGTGATGACCTTAAGTCCGTAAGGAAGCAGTTCTAAGTCATTAAGTACCTCCTTTAAGCAAATTATTTACATACATATCTTCTCAATAAAAAGTCTAATTTGAAATTCATACACATCTATAACAAATCAAAAACGGAGGATGCATTTTTCTACGACAGAACGAAA